CAGAAACAGACAGAGAAACAGAAACAGAGACAGAGAGAGAGAGCGGGGAAGAGGGAAGTCTGGGAGTCGGGGGCGTGTGTGTGTGTTGGGGAGGGGGGGGGGAGATGAATTACGACTGCTCAGCACTAGCTCGTCACCTGTGTGTATTTAAAATCCTCATCCGTTCCGCTTAAGCACATACTTGCTCTCCTATCTGACTCTCTGCCTGCTTGCTTGCTTGCCTACTACTAATCCCCCTCCCCCCCCTCCCTTCCCACTTCGTCTGCTTACCCCCTTACTACAACACCCACTAAAGCCTTTCACGTTCGCCTGCTTGCTTGCCTGCTTATCCGTCGCCCTAGCAACATGCCTTCTTGCGTCTGTGCATGGGGGTAGTGTAGGCCTAGGAAACCCAGAACACTTGCGCTGGGATTGCTTTTATGTTTTTTTGTCTTGTTATCGCCTTCTTTATCCCTCTTCTTTCTTTCTGTCTGTATGTCAGTTTATATATCTTTCTTTCTCTGTTTCCCTCAGTGTCTGTCTGTTTTCCTTTCCCTGGGAGAGAAGGGGGAGAGGAGAGGGAGAGGGAGAGGGGGAGAGGAAGGGAGGGGGGGAAGGTAGGAGTGGGAAGAGAAGAAAAGACAGGAGAAGAAAGGAAGCACGAGAGAAAGAGAAAGGGGAGGAGGAGGAGGAGGAGGAAGGGAAGAAGAGACGGGAATGAGAGAGAGAGAGGGAGGACGAAAGAAAGGGAGGAGGCTAGGAGGGAGGAGGGAGGAGGGAGGAGTGAGGAGGAGGAGGAGGAGGAGGAGGAGGAGGTGGAGGAGGAGGAGGAGGAGGAGGAGGAGGAGGAGGAGGAGGAGGAGGAGTCGAGGGGGAGAGGCAGGGGGAGGGGGTATCGCAGACCGGATATGGGACATTGTAATGGGAGATGTCCCTGCCCCTCCCACTCCCACTCCCACTCCCACCCCCACCCCCACCCTACCAATACTCTACAGAATCATATATCCATCTCTTTCTTTCTCTTTCTTTCTGTCTCTCGTTCTCTTTTGTTTTCTTTGTTTTCACCTTTCCTCCTGTTTTCACTTTCTCGTAATCGTTACTTTCCCTCATAATACACTAATTTTCGTCGTTATCAGCGTTTTCACTTTAACATCATTAACATTATCCACATTGTTATTATCATCATTAATATCACCATCACTCTTCTTCTTAAATAGCGTATATGACAATACTTGTAACTTGCTTAGATGAAATAAACTGAAAAAAAACCCTCTGCCTTTCCCTCTCCACACCCCCTCCCTCCCCCCGTCCCTCCCTCGGTCTCTCTCTGTCTCCCTCTCCCATCCCTTCTCTCTCTTGCTTCCCCTCGCCCTCTCTCCGTCTGTCTCCCTGTCTCCTCCCTCACCATCACCCCCTCCCTTCCCTCCGTTTCTCCCTCTATCTCCTCCCTCTCCATCACCCCCTCCCCCCCTCCGTTTCTCCCTCTATCTCTGTCTCCCTCTCTCCGTCTGTCTCCCACTCCTTCTCCTCATCACCCCCTCCCCACCTCCGTTTCTCCCTCGATCTCTGTCTCCCTCTCTCCGTCTGTCTCCCACTCCTTCTCCTCATCACCCCCTCCCCCCCTCCGTTTCTCCCTCTATCTCCTCCCTCACCATCACCCCCTCCCTTCCCTCCGTTTCTCCCTCTATCTCCTCCCTCACCATCACCCCCTCCCTTCCCTCCGTTTCTCCCTCTATCTCCTCCCTCACCATCACCCCCTCCCTTCCCTCCGTTTCTCCCTCTATCTCCTCCCTCACCATCACCCCCTCCCTTCCCTCCGTTTCTCCCTCTATCTCCTCCCTCACCATCACCCCCTCCCTTCCCTCCGTTTCTCCCTCTATCTCCTCCCTCACCATCACCCCCTCCCTTCCCTCCGTTTCTCCCTCTATCTCCTCCCTCACCATCACCCCCTCCCTTCCCTCCGTTTCTCCCTCTATCTCCTCCCTCACCATCACCCCCTCCCTTCCCTCCGTTTCTCCCTCTATCTCCTCCCTCACCATCACCCCCTCCCTTCCCTCCGTTTCTCCCTCTATCTCCTCCCTCACCATCACCCCCTCCCTTCCCTCCGTTTCTCCCTCTATCTCCTCCCTCACCATCACCCCCTCCCTTCCCTCCGTTTCTCCCTCTATCTCCTCCCTCACCATCACCCCCTCCCTTCCCTCCGTTTCTCCCTCTATCTCCTCCCTCACCATCACCCCCTCCCTTCCCTCCGTTTCTCCCTCTATCTCCTCCCTCACCATCACCCCCTCCCTTCCCTCCGTTTCTCCCTCTATCTCCTCCCTCACCATCACCCCCTCCCTTCCCTCCGTTTCTCCCTCTATCTCCTCCCTCACCATCACCCCCTCCCTTCCCTCCGTTTCTCCCTCTATCTCCTCCCTCACCATCACCCCCTCCCTTCCCTCCGTTTCTCCCTCTATCTCCTCCCTCACCATCACCCCCTCCCTTCCCTCCGTTTCTCCCTCTATCTCCTCCCTCACCATCA